CCAGATGTCCAAATGGCCGACTCCCGCACCTCCTTCAAGTCTGCTCAAATGGCCCTTTCTCCATAAGGCCTACAGTAACCACTCTAAAGTTGCAGCCCATCCCCACCCCACATTCTCAGTGCCTCTCAATCTCCCTCTCTAATTATATTCAATGGCACTATGAACTCCTAAGCACTCTGCCTTTAACTTATTTAACTTACAAACAACCCTGTGAAGTAGGTATGGGCCCTTGTTACCATTTTACAGATGAGGAAACCGAGCCTTGCAGATGTTAATTACTTATTGTTTATCAATCACCTCCCACCATAGAATGCCCTCCACGAGGACAAGGATTTTTGTCAGTTTTGTTCACTGTTGATCCAGTGCCTAGAACTGCCTAGCAAAGAGCAGACACTTAATAAATATTTGTTGAATGAATAAATAAACCAGTATATCCCCCCCTGTGAAAAAACAGGATCCAATATAGTGTTATTCCATATTTTATCACTTAATATTACCATCATTTCATAAAGTTAGGACATTTTTACACTAAAAATGAAGGAAGGATATAACTTCAGTTCAGAAACAGCTCTAACATTTGAATAAGCTTTAGGAAAACCTTACTACATTGTCTTTTTCTCATTTTAACATAAGCCACTTTGTCACAGGTGGGCACAGATCCAAAGACCATTTTGGGAAAACCTCTCTGTAGGAAAACCCATTTACACCTATATGGCTTCCTTGAGTACCTGCTCTTTATAGAAAGCAATATTCTAATTCCTGAGACTAGAAAGAACTGAGGGCCAACATGCAATGTGTAGAACGCAAGGCTATAAGGCTTCAGACATGCAACTGCTTTAACAGAAAAACTATATAACCTCTTAATATCAGTTTTCTCCTCTCTCACATGGGAACGATATCAGCTGCCTTATCTACCTAGCTGTCACAGACTAAAGAAGGAATAAACAAGAAAACCAAGCTTTTACAAAGCTTATAATGATAGGAGCTAACATTTAACAGATACTTACTTTATGCCAGACACTCTTCTAAGCACTTTATCTGTATTAATCCTTTTAATCCTCATAAACAACTCTATGAGGTAGGCTCTATTATTATCTCCATTTTACAAATGAGGAGGAGACTTGAGGCTTAGCAAAGTTAAGTAATTTGTCCAGGTCACACAGGAAGCAAAGCAGCTAGAATTTAAAACAAGACTGAATCCAGAGTTTCAGTTGATCACTAGACTACCATGCCTCTTGCTACACAAACCAGATTGTTTTACAATACACCTCTAATATAACTATAGAGTTTATAATCCAGCAGGTAGAGAAGGAGGCTAACACTCCAAAATAAAAACACAGCATGGTGATTTCAGTTGAAAAGAATTATATATGTAAAAACTGAGTGAGTGCTAGAAGGAACCAAGATTGTGGTTTAGTGGGATTAATCTAGAACTGCTTTGTGGCGGAGGGAATTCTGACCATAATTTGGAAGGAAGGGAGAACATGGCATCGAGGAGACAGGTCCTGTTCCAGGTGAAGAGAAAGTTATACAGACAAGCCATTAAGACAAATGTAGGAGACAGTGATGTGTCTACATAATGCCAAAACATCTGGTCAACTGAGTTTAAAAAAAAAAAACCTCCATCAACACAGATTTCTTCAGTCAATCCAGATGTTTGGCATCTTGTAGACAAAACATCCAGATGATTAACTGAAGACCTGACAGAGTTGACTGAATTAACCGTGTGTTGTAGCATTGTATAGACAGTGTCAGGACGTTTGCTTGGCTGGAGTGGAGTCCAGCTATAAAGGAGATAATGGTCCAGGCAATGAGAGGGGACCTGGAGCTTGGATTTGATGCAGTTGGAAGCTGCTGGAGGAGGAGTGTGATGGAAATGATGCTTAAGGAAGAGGATTCTAACAACTATGTGAAAAAAAAAATATGGTGAGAGGAAAAGTTGTAGACAGGAAAGAGGATGTGAGTAGAGTGCAGGTGTGTGTGAGGTAATTAGAGCCTGGACCAGAATCAGGCTTGGGAAAGCAACAGGAAGGAACGGATCTGAAAAACATTACAGAAAAAGAACAGGAAGTCATGATGGGCTAGACAAGGGAGTGCAACTGCACATCACCCCAAGGTTGGAAGCCTCCAGGCCTGGGAAAGCAGCTGCAGTCAGCCTCACCACAGTAGTAAACCAAGAAGGAATCCCCAAGAGACCCCTCCCCTCAACCTCCATCCAGAGTCCAGAGCCAGGCCCACAGGCAGGGGGAACTTGGAGACCACAAACACAACTCTCATGAAAGGTTTCCTATTCATTTTAGCCACCTAAGTTGATTTCCCTTCATGTCCAATTTCATGAAGGGATTGAGAATGCTAGATTCAGACTGTCAGGTAGACACAACTTCAGTGAAAAGTCTAAAAAGACAATATTGTAATGACATTTGCTTTTATACAGCATATAATGTAAATTAAGATGTATAGGGGTATGAATAAATTAGATGAGATGAGATTAAGAGAAATTATATAGTACCTATATTACCTAGTTAGCATTATAAAAGCCTGTTAACAGGCACAATTAATGGCCGAATTCAAGAATTTACATATTTTTTTAAACCCTTAATTTATGAAACCTTGGAATGTTCAACTCTTGGCTTGGATACTTTGCAGATTTTTTTAAAATTCCAAATATCTTATTAGACAAGAAACGAGTTTATATTTATTTATAAATAGTCACAAATTCTAATTTACTAGGATTCGAACTATGATAGTGTGCTCCCACTTATTAAAAAAAATTCTAAATATCCATGCAAGTCATCGTTTTGCAAATTTGCATTTTCAAATATTTTCAGCCCCAGGCTTATCAGCCCACACAACCAGTTATGTGCCCTTTACAGACACAATCTGGGTTTCTCCAACTGCTTCCTTGTTCATTTCAGGAGGGAAGGAACCTTCAAGAGAGGTTACTCTCTTTGTTCATGGTTTGGAACAAAACTGAGGATCAATCAATCTCTCCTTCTCTCTCTCCCCCTCTCTCTTTCTCTTTCCCTCTCTCTCCACCCCCCCTTCCCCTTCCCCCCACCAGAGAAACAACACAGAATGTGAGACCATAAATATATTAACTTGTTCCATGTCACCCTGGGGGAGGTGGAGGGGTCAGGAAACTTGTTAAAATCAGTTTCCCAGGCCTCAGAAATGACAAGTCTGTTGATCTGGGGTGGGAGCCCAAGAATCTGCTGGTTTTTCTGTTTGATTTTTAACAAGCTCCCCCAACTAATTCTGATGACTATTTTCTGAAAATCAGACTTATATCCTGCCCTAAAGTGGAAAGCTATAGAATGAAAAGCATCCGTTGTAAATGCAAATCTCAAATGGTAAAACAGATTTAAAATTTTTTTCTTACACATCCCTTAATCTTTCCTTTATGTAATAAGCTCCTACGTAAATTCACTGTGTTCTTTGATATGCAGAATTTTTCATAGAAACTGCATAAAGTCAAGCACACCTATGCAGTCAACCTAGAAGCCCAGAAGACAAATAGGACAGCTTGTCTGTTCTCAATTCACAGCACTGCCCACTACAGCCCTTCCCGGACACAAATGTTTACATGATGGGAAAATGTAATTAATGATCTTGGTAAGTCTTTCTAGTGCTCCAAGGCTAAGTGAGTCACTTATTTATCAGATAGAAAAAAACAGTTGGGTTCACTGAAACAATGGGTGATTTATCCAGGTGTGTTTGAATATAACCTTCCCACAGCCATCTTTTTGTAAGAAATACTTCAAAGTTAGTAGATAGCAAACTAGTTATTCAAAAAGTTAATCAGTGAAATGTCCCCCATCATAACATCAAGATTAGAATGTTTGTTCTCTACATGTAATCGCTTAGGTACCCCTTTTTTGGCAGTACTAACTCTACTGCAAGAATGATTAGTAGATTTTTTTTTTTCCTGGTGCTATGGCTCCATTTGCCTTAAACTCAACTCACTCACCTAAATCTTTTCCCAAGGATATAGGAAAAAGAATAAATTGGGAGAATTGGGAAATTTTGGGAGAATTTTTCACCTTCATTACCTAAGGTGTAACGATTAAAAGTCAAACTTACTTTTATTGTGCTTTGAATGATGCTTTTGAAACAATCAAGGGTTTCACAGGCAACCCAAGTGGTTTTGACTTGAGTAGTGATTCTTTCCCACTTTCCATTCTCCTGCCACTTTCAAATCTCATCTAGCAACCATGGGAATGGTCTCATGCCCTAGTGGGAGGGAGTTAGGACAAGCTAGGATTGCAAAAGAAAACCCTTAGGAGTCTTCAGAACATAAAAAGTCCTTGCATTCTGATACAGGTTAAAACAAAGAGAAAGATTCATTTCCAATGATCCTCTTTTATCCTCCACATAAAAATACTAACCTTCAATGCCTCCATCTCAACCACAGTATTGATAAGGGTAAGAAATAAACAAATTCTCTTTAGACTATTTCATTGATTCTACTGCTTTAATATCATTTATGGTATACAATGGCTTCCAGTACCGTGCTTTTTTCCTCAGGGCCATTGCTAGCCCATTTGGTGCCTCTGTGTGAATTAGAAAAAGGCACCCACTCCTCAAGATGCTTTACTTCCATATGTCAGAAAACTGTGATAACATAGTTTCTTTGAACAAGACACTTTATCACATCTGCAGGAAAAATCACCATAACAAATGTCAAACCTATATTGCTTATGATGTGAATTACATCCCCCGAGGCGTGGTGCCCTTGTGCAAAGCTCAACAGCACGGCTATGCATGAAAGCCTTTTCTCTCACCCCCTTCACTGTCAGCCCTCTCCATTCGCAAACCCAGCCCAAAGGCTCTAGAGTCCTACAGAAACTCTATAAAACCGCTTTCTCGAAGATCATCCATGATATTCTTCCAGCTAAACTCAAATCTAAAGCCCACTGGGGTCCCTGGAAAATATAAGATGGAATCCAGGTGATAAGGTCTAACCTCTTATTTTGTGCTTAGTCAAGTTTCCTTGCCTGCAGGGGGTTGTATGCAGAGGCCTTGCACCTAACACATGGGATTAGAGTTCCCAGCGCAGAACCGCTGTGCTAACACCCCAGCTTGGTGAGCTGTGTGGAGAAGCACTGCACACACCGCCTCAATTCAAGATGGCGGCAGCGGGCCGTGACCAGAGAAGCTGCACCAGGCACTGCGATCTGGAGCCTGAGCCACAGCTGCTGCAGGTGGTGAGAACCCCGCCCCCTCCCCTCCCTGCTAACGAGATCCCCGTAAAGCAGCCCCGCCCACAGCCTGTGCTCTAGAGCCCAAGCGTCTACCTCTCCATCCGCCGATGAAAGAAGAAAGCTTTCCTTTGCTTCTGAACCGAACTTGGTCTCCTTCTACGGGCTCAAACAACACTGGGCGGGAGAACCCTTGTTGGGGCCTGACTAGACAGGGTCCGGTAACACTGCCTTCTTGGAACTCTCTCCTCCCACCTCATAATCCTGACTCTCCCTTTCCTACCAGCAATTCTTGTCCTGCTCCTCTTTTCTGTGGACTCTGTTCTTAGACTCTAGCTCTGAGGAATCTGGTCAATACTTCCTGAGATAAAATGGTCTTTGGAGCCAAGGCATTTAACAGGTGGAAGCTAAAAGTGCTGCCTGTTCCATATGACGTAGCCTGTACCACCTCACTGTTCCCACAGTAAATACTTGTTTTCCTGTAAACTTGGGGCACAGGCTAGTAGATTTAGTGACAAGACAGTAATCTATGACTTGGGCCATCTGATGTTCCATCTCACCTGCAGAGGCCCATGGCTTGTTCAGGAAATAGATCTGTCTGGAAGTTCAGACTCTTCAATAACTAAACAGACTTCTGAGCATCACTGTCCAGGACCACAGCCCTCTGCCTCTGGCCCCCAGCCGTCTGCAACACTTTGAAGAAAACGGTTCTTCACCAGGCTTACAATTCAATGGCCACCCAGTAAGATGTAGAACAAAGACACTCTTCCCAGGCCTGTGAGCTGTATGCGTAGCCAAAGTGTCTCTCCACAGGCTAATGATAGTCCCAGGTTTAAGAATGAGGTCCTCGGGGCTTCCCTGGTGGCGCATTGGTTGAGAATCTGCCTGTCAATGCAGGGGACATGGGTTCGAGCCCTGGTCTGGGAAGATCCCACATGCCGCGGAGCAACTAGGCCCGTGAGCCACAAGAACTGAGCCTGTGCGTCTGGAGCTTGTGCTCCAGCAACAAGAGACCGCGACAGTGAGAGACCCGTGCACCGTGATGAAGAGTGGCCCCCGCTTGCCACAACTAGAGAAAGCCCACGCACAGAAAACGAAGACCCAAAAATAAATAAATAAATAAATAAAATTTAAAAAAAAAAAGAATGAGGTCCTCATGACCTGCCGAGCTGAGAGAAGATCGTGTTCCTGGATGACATTCTGATGTGGTCCATAACCTGCCTTTGGCTCCTGGGTGAACCCTCTCTGTAGGTATAATGTGAAAATGTGTTTAGTGCCTCTCTTCAAAGAAAACCTCCTCTCTGCTGACAAGGGTTAGTAATATGCTAGGATGGTACACTTACCTCTCTCTGTCTCTCTTTCATTCCTTTAAATATCCAAGACACTCAGTGCCTCCTGAGGTTTATTAGTTAATAATGGGGCTTTTTTTTTTCTTATGACAATCCCATCAAGTACCACCTGAAGAAGAGGAACCATTTCAAACTCTGTGGTGGCCAAAGAATTCTAGCACCTGCATGCACCTGAATGCAGTTCCCCTTGCCTTCTATCCCACATTATCCTTACTGTTTCTAAGGAAAATGTCTCCCACCAACAGGGGGAAAAATTTGTTTTATTTTGTTTTCCTGCAACTGCACTTCTTTCCAACAATCTTATGTGCTGGAAGTTAAGTAAAAATTGACCTGAAAATGTTACGGCACCTTCAAGAACCAAGAAGTTTTTTTCCCCCTTCTCATCCAATATGATGGGGCCAAGTTTGACATTTCCATAACGTTTAAAATATAAGGCTAAAAAAATAACCTTGGTGGTCACTGGCCTGACATGAGTCTGGTTAAACTTCAAGGAAACTGCTTCCAAGATAGGATTTAGATGCTTCAGAATTTGTTGGAATGTGGTCAACAGAAAAATAAAATTTCAAATCCTGGCTTACTGGCCTGAAGGACCTCCATGAGGTAGACTCTATACAGGAAACAATTCCATCATCCAAAGTGAATATTCACTCATTTTTCTTTTCCAGCCAGGAGTTTGGAAGAAGCGAGCAGGCAATGTAGTCATTTGGTAACATCCTTCCCACTGCCAAAATGGATTAATGCTGGGAGATCTTACAACTGGTGAGTAATCGGTAGTGCTTGCAGACCCTCCAAGATCCCCAAGGTGTGATTATTTTCATACATGGATTTCTGTCATCATCCTCCAAAGGGTGCTTTGTCAGTTTAATTTTCCCTCACTGGACTCTCAAGCCCATGTTATGGCATGGTCTCCAACTCACTGCCGATCTCCTGCTCAAACCAAGTTGGTGAGCACTTTAGAGACACTGCTAAAATGTGAGGGCTATATTAACAAAATTATACCAGCTTCCTCTTAAATGATTCTGGAAACGTATGAATAGTTATTTATTAAAATAAAATTTAGAACCTAATCATTCCACTGATTTGGTTTATTATACCCCTACCTAATACTCAGGTTGATTTTAAGATGTCATGGACATACTAAAATCTCAGACTATGAAGAACCTAATTGAAACAACAACCCCAAATATGTGAGTTTTTAAAATAAATGCTCTTTGCATCTTTTAGCATTGACTATCATTCATTCCCTAAACTTCTCTCACCACCACTACCCCAACTCTTCGACTTGTATTCAATTCCTTTCTGGGACTAAAAGGGCCTCTGAAATGGGAAATATGATATCAAAAGAACTCACACCTGGGAATCAAACAGCCGAAAGTTCAAGCTCTGTCTCTGCCACCAACTAGCTGGGAATCTTTAGATGATTCACCTAAACTCTCTGAGCTTTGGTTTCCTCATCTGTAATTTGGACATATAGTTTACCTCAAAAGATTGGTGTTTCTTTGACCTGAGTCGAATGCCCTTCCCCTGGGCTTAGAGACCTGCAAACCTTTGCCTCCTAGTCACTCAGGAAGTAGGTACTTCTGTCCTCTTCCCAGATCCCTTTAGCTCTGTGTCCCAAGTCTTAAGGTCAGCCCCAACAGTAAGGCTACTTCTGGAAAACTGGGCCAAATGTATCTCCAGAACCTCATTATTTCTGACCACCAACCCCACCCCTAGAAACACTGTGTTGCCTAAGCTGAGCACTGCCCCTGATTCACAGCCCAAGCCATAAACCAGTGGGCCCTACCTTATCTGGTGTCAGAATTACCCAAGAGCTCTGAAAACCACAGATGTCTGCCCCACTCCCAGCCCCTGGAAGCCTCTATTTTTAAGTTTCCTGGGTAATTCTGATGATAACCCCAGTTTGAGAAGCTCTGATTTTAGCAGCCACCAAACATCCCTATCTGTTCCTCCCATGCCTTGGAACTGGATTATCTTTCCTGAGCTACATAAACCCACTGCTCTATCTCCCAAACCCAGTTAGTTGTTGACTCTGGTTACTATGAGCTCCGAACAGGTCACAGGGACTCAAGCTGCTGATTATGGCTTAGGAACCCTCCTCCACATCCCCAGCCCCTTGGGCCTAAGAGGCAGAAAAGGCATCATAGAAATATAATCAAGAGAGCACCAGGGCTGTAGAGTCAGTAGCGCTAGTGTGGAACAATGGATCTAAGTCAAAAGATTTAAAGGCCTGAGATGCCAACAGAGATCAAAAGCAGATAAACACCCTTCACCCTGCCAAGGCAATCTAACATGGTGCAGCACTGAGTGAACTGGTGAAGCTCATAAAGCAACCCTAGTGAGGCCTTTGTGTGTGTGTGTGTGTGTGTGTGTGTGTGAGAGAGAGAGAGAGAGAGAGAGAGGGGGGGGGGGGGGGGGGGAGGGAAGGGAGAAAAAGAAATAAGGAAAGAAAGAAAGGAGAGAGAAAAAAAGCAAAAGAGAAAGAAAGAAAGAAAATAGATTGTGACAAGTTGTGATATGATTAAAACAAATCAGCAGGGCAATTTGTGTTTGTGGGTATTTTCAAAGGGTACCAGTGCTTCTCACCTGGACCCCAACTCCAGCTCTCTCTCCACTCATGCCCAGGTTCCAGGTACTTGCCCACACCCTGCTCTCTGGTGTGGTTCATAGTGTGATTCACTGTTTAACATTTGCCTGATAAACTAGACAACAAGCACAGGATGGGGGAGCTGGGGCACTGAGCTGCAGGGACTCCAGTGGGAGCTCCTTCAAGACTGACCACAAGGCAAGTTAGTATAAGAATCTGCTGTAAGAGGAAATGCTGGGAAGGCAAGATGGAGGTGTCCCTCACTCCATGTGCTCCTGGGCACTCTCCCTAGCGATTCCTTCTGAGCAGAGCCCAGTAGCTTCCCACATAAAATGCTTCGAGTCCTTTGCTTGACCGGCCTGAAAAGTGTGTCACCTCACCAGAATTCTTTTCAGAAGATTTTACAAAGCCATTCATAAGAACAACATATTTCACTGCCAGGTGTCTTTCCTGACATCTCAGACCCCCTACAGTCCTTTGATCACTTTTTCTCCTGGAGGACACAGACAGCTTTTAGCAAGACCAGTGTGAGGAGCTTCTCCAAGGAAAACAGATGGGATCCAAGGTGCATTATCCCTCAGAGGGCTTCTCCAGGGATCAGGAACCCTGTTCCACAATGCTGCTAGGTGCCCATTCTGTTTTTGCTGCTGTGGCTCCTTGCAAGGGCCGGTGCGGAACATAGGCCTGCACCCTGGCTCTGGATCCCAGAGCCCTGCCATCCTCCAGCAACCGGCTAACAAAGCGTGCCAACAACGGTTTGAAACCGTTAAAGCAATTTTAATAAAAATAAAATCATGAATAATATAACTATAAATACAGATCTCATTAAAACAGGCGGCTATAAAACCCTGTACTTTAAAAATAAGAACGGCCTCTCTAAGTGCATTCCAATTACGGTCCAAGATGTAATTTACCCTTTGGGACCCTGATACTACAGCAGATCTCGGTGAAACCACTGTCTCACCACCGTGGTGACAGTCAAGAACGGTCGCAGTACTGAGCGAACCTGCCTGGCGGGACCGAATTGGTGGCCGGCCAGCGGCGAGAGCGGGCGGCCTGCGCGCTGCTGTGCATGCGCTCCTGAGCAGGCCGCCGCGGGCAGCTTTGGGGAGGCCGAGCCGCGTGGCTGCCCAGCCTGCGGCTCCGCGGGGGCGTCTGACATCGCCATCCGTGTGGTGCACCCTTTTGTCTCACCCCGACCCGAGTTCTTTTCAGGGATTAGTCCTGACTTCGTGATTAATCGGCACTTTCGGGTTTTTCCTAGTGTGACATCATTGCTGCTCAGAGATAAAACAGGCTTCTTTCTGAAGGCTCCTGCGCAGAGCAGGGTCCTGTACCCCGGAGACTGTCCCGGGGACCTCGCCCTGCCCAGACGGCCACAGCCAGCTCCGCTCCGCGGCTCAGCAGGAGCGCTTGGTGCCCCGTCACAGAGCCTCTGCTCTTTATTGCTTCGGCCCACTGGTTAAATGCAAAAAGTTCAAGGTTTTCTGTCCTTTTTTCATAATTATAAAAGTAGGACATGCTCATTTCAAAAGGTGGAAAATTATGAAGAGAAAAGTAATCAACCAAAGCCTCACCCTGCAGGCTCAATCTCTGTTCATTTTGATGCATTTCTTTCCAGCCTTTTTTCTCTTTCTTTGCAACAGTTTTTCTGGTGTTAAACACTGATCAGGGACTTCCTGGTAGCCCAGTGGTTAAGACTCCGCCCTCCCAATGCAGGGAGCCCGGGTTTGATCTCTGGTCAGGGAAGTAGATCCCACGTGCATGCCGCAACTAAGAATGCACATGCCCCAACTAAGGAGCCCGCCTGCCTCAACTAAGACCCAGCACGACCAAAATAAATAAATATTGAAAAGAAAAAGAAAACATTGCTCAGCTGCAGTTGTGTTACAAATAAATAATTTTGTATCCTACTTTTTTAACTTAATGTTTTAGCAGAAACACT